ACAGAACAGAGAGACGAATCTGGAGGTGGGTGAGTGTTGATCTTTTGTTTTCCTTTCACTGAATTTTCTCTCTGGGAACAGTGGAGGGAAGCAGAAGAAGAATTTAGTCTTGTTCTCCTTCAGCTTTAAATCTATGTCTTGACAATGTTTTTATTTGATGACAGACAAATGCAAACTGACAGAAAGTTAAAATATTTTATCTAATTGGGAATCTTGGACCGACCTGTTTGTGAACTCACAGTTAAAAATGAGGACAATCAGTTTTTCTCTCAAACTGACTGAAACCACAAGATGGAAGATTTTGAGCAGGAACAAGATGACGTAGCAGAACAGTCATAATAATGAAGGCATATAATTATAAAGAAGAAATTAGTATTCTGGTCCAAAGATCCAGATATGGTGACTAAAGATAAGAGCTTAGATCCAAACTCAGCAGTTGTAGAACTTTATTTCCTGCTGCTTTTAGTTATTTAGTCTTTTCTTTGGTTCTTATTCCTACCTGCTCTTTCCAAATGTCTTAATTTGAGGCCTGAAACTGAGACTGACTGAACTCTTGATCATCTGAGGGGAAACCCAATAACTTTCAATGACACAAAAATAAGGTTGAAATAGACCTGCTGAAGTTTTCTATTAAAGTGCAGCTGGTTCTGAGTTAACAGGTCCAGTTAGTTTCCTCTGAGGTTCTACTGTGAAGTCATGTTACTGTCAGGAGGTAATGCTGTCTCTGCTATATTACCATGGTAACAGTTACTGGTCACCTCACCTGCTTCTCAGGTGATGCTGATGTTCAGATTGAAGTTAAAATATTAAAACAAGTTTTCATTGATTCTTCTCAGTGATTTTATCTGAGGTTCTCACTCTCAGCAGGGAGACCAACAGACCACCTGCCTCTGAAGGAGGTCTGGATCTGAGAGATTTCAGAACTGCTGCTTTAACGGAAGCCTCTCCATAAGAGTCGCTCCAGCATGTGAGCTGTTCAGGACAAACGCATCACTACTTCATAGGAAATGTTCACTTCCTCATTTACCTAACTGACCTCACTGTGGATGTTTCTACAGACCTGAAAATGATTCTAGTTTAGACCTGGAAAAGCTTCAAATTAATTTTCTTCCTAATCTCTCCCAGCAGACATTAGATATTCATGAAGTAGTGAAGGAGATGTTACCTGATTGAATCAGGTTCCTCCGATTCTCTAAGCACATGATGGAAATGTGCTTTCTTTTTGACAGGACAATTACTGGAACTGGATCATTGAGAACTGATTCGTTGTGGTTTCTCTCACAGGCTGACTGAAGTCCAGAAGATGGAAGACTGGAAACTAAAGAAGGACAGAGCAGATCCTCCAGGATCCATCTGTCCTTCTATGAAGAGTGACCGGTCTAGACAACAAACTCCAGACTTAAAGTATGAACCTGGACCCTCCCACCAAGCATCTGCAACTCAGAACAAAAACATCAGCAGGTCAAAGTAACACTAGAGGACCGGGGTCATTACCTTTTTCTAATCTTCTGTTTCCTTGTCGGTCTTTGAGTTCTGGTCTTTAATGACAGCCACATCATCTCCTCATACAAAATGAACAGCTTTAGTTTTGATATCAGGAACCACGAAAAGTGCATACACATATACCCATCTGTCCATTTTCTGTACAGCCATGTCCCTTAATGGGGTCAAGAGGGTTGATGGTGCCTCTTCAGCTAACGTTCCAGGCAAGATCACCCTGGACAGGTTGCCAGTCTGTCGCAGGGCAACACAGAGACACACAGGACAAACAACCATGCGCACACACGTAGGGACAATTTAGAGAAACCAATTAACCCGACAGTCATGGTTTTGAACTGTGGGAGGAAACCGGAGTACCTGGAGAAATCCCACCATGCACAGGGAGAACATGCAAACTCCATGCAGAAAGACCCTGGGCTGGGAATCAAACCCAGGACCTTCTTGCTGCAAGGCAACAGCTCTACCAACTGCACCACCTTGCAGACCACACACATATACCCAAAAAGCAAAAATGAAATACAGCAAATAAAATTAGAAATCAGATTTATTAAACTATCCGTTTGCACACACACAATTTTCCTTTATAAATCACATCTGAACCTAAAAATTTGCAAGAACATCTTCATCTTCATTGGGACGGCTCCACCCTGTTAGTGAACTATTTCAGTGATGAAGAAATGTCTCCACAGAGGGAGGAAGAGGAGCAGCGTTGATGAGGAGGAGCAGCTGTCCTGCTGTGCTTTGTGTCAGGAGGTTCTGGTGGATCCGGTCTCTACCAGCTGTGGTCACTGGTTCTGCAGACGGTGCATCAGGTCCTACTGGGACCAGTCTGCTCCATCTGGACCCTCCTCCTGCCCCCAGTGTGGGAAAAGACCCAGAATAGGAGCTGGACTGCTGACAGCCAATCAGAGCAGCTGTGCTCCAGGTGAGACTGAACACGTCCAATCAGAGCTTCTTCTGTTGTTTCTGTTTAAACAGTTTCATATCTTTTGATGGGACTGAAAATTCAAGTTTTTAAAAAATTTTCTGTGATCAATTATTGAACTAAATCTCTGTAGTTCCAGCTGTGCTTCATGGAACATATTACACATCATATTGTGGAAAATATGTTAGTTTGTTTTAAGAAGGGTAAAATCATTGACATTCATCAAGCAGAGAAAACACTGAAGGAGATTGCAGACACTCCTGCAATAGATTTGATAACTGTCCAACTTATCATTAATAACTGGAAATATCGTGCAGAACTATCATATTTGTTGAAGAAATGTAGTCAGGAAAAAGCTCTGAATGACTTTGATTAGTGACATCAAATCAAATAAAAAAATGGCAGTACCCTGAGTTCTACTGTTGTAGGGCAATATTACATATTTTCCAGACACGTAGTGCTATAAAGTAGCACTATCAATTGAGCTTAGTAGGGGAGTTGCATGGTAGGGATAAAAGAACAATTGGATACTCCACCTCAAAGGAGGAACTGTGTAAAAAAGGCAGCCCTCAGTGAGAGCAAGTGTTTTGCACCCCAAAATGGCTATATCTATCATGCTTAGTGTCTAACATGCAGGCTTGTAAGATCTGGATTTGTTACAGTGCTCAGTATTCATCATCACCAATACAAGACCTTGGTGAAGAAAATAAATATATCACTGTATGGAATTACATCTTGTAACATCACAAAGGCTTATCAACAAATTTGTGCTACATCAAAGTTAAGGTTGGGCCAACTAAATATTGGTGTGTAACATGTAATAATTGAAACAATTATGTCATTCTAGTCTCTGATTGTTCTATAAAAACTTTCAACCCAGTTTTGTCAGAGAAATGCCATATTACAGATCATTTTGTTTCAGCGTAATCACACAAAATCCTGTATTTTCTTCTTTATTTCAGCAGATGTTGTTCTGCGAGAAGTTCTAGAGGAACACAAGATCAATCTGAGGAGGAGATGTGAATGTGTGACTGAAGGAAGTGATGAAACAGGAAGTAGAACCCTCCTCAACAGGATCTACACTGATCTCTACATCACAGAGGGATGGAGTGAAGAGGTTAATACCCA